CTCCTCAGCCGCCGTAACCGCGGCCCGGCCCTCCGGCGGAGCTCTCCGCCCCCTCCCCCTAATAACCCCCGTCGCGCACCGCGGGGCCCAGGCACCGCCCTCGCAGCGCGCAGGACCTGGGGTGTCCGCGGCGGTGCCTGTCGGAAAAGCCGCACTGGGCGGCGCGCGCCGGGTTGGAGCTCCGCGTGGGCCGGGCGGCGAGAGCGCTGTAGCCAGCCAGGCACGATGGTCGAGGGGAAGTGGTCGCGACGGGAGCTGCGGGAGCCTGCGCCCGAACGCTCAGGCGGCCGCTGTGGGCAGCTCAAGGAAGGGCGCCCCGTTCCCACGCGTCGGGAAGGGCGGAGCCAGGAGCGCGCTGTCCCGGACCCGCGCCACGCCGGCGCGAGCCGGGTGGCCTGGGTGGGTGGGCTTCGTCCGGTCGCTGGCTGTCACCAGGCAGGGTCACACCTGGAGCGTGGGCAGCAGGAGCCAGTTAGAAGACCTTAGCGGTGTTGTGTTTGTGTTTACCATTGGCGTGATTTAGGGTAAAGCTCTGAGCGCCCTGATTCCCCTCCACCCCCCCCCCAAAAAAAAACCCTTGTTCCTAAAGTTACTAGAAGAGGATTAGCCATAAGGGCTGGTGCGTTAATAAGCAAGTTTGCCGCAATTATTTTTGATACTACGTGAAGAAAATTGACAAATTAATTGTATCTCCAGTGAACAACCTGAATCTTGCTTTACCCTGCGTGGGAAGGGAAGAGTTAAGTATGAAAATAGATGGCCGGTATCGGGCGCTTAGCCTTTGCCCGAGTGCCGAAACTCAAGCTGACAAGGATACAGATACGCATATAAGTAAATAATCCAAGAACTGCGGCTCTGGGAGTGACCCTGGTCTGTTTGAGAATGCCGAGCTGTTTCTGCACGATGGGACTGCCTACAGTAGATGTTTCTTGGGCGTGGAGGGAGACTTAGTTTTTTCTCTTTAAAGAACATGGAGGCTGAGCATGGTGGCCAGTGCATGTAATCTTAATTTTGTGGAGCTTGGGACCGGGAGTTCAAAGCCAGGGTGGGCAACATAGCATTTGAACATCATTTATTTTACTTGGGAAACTACTTCGCTTTCTTTCTGTGAGCCATGGCAACAAAAGTAATTTCCCCCCTTTGAAATTATTAAATAAAGTCTTTCTCACAAACTATCTTTTGTGACAGGGTTTCACTATGTAACCCTTACTGGCCTCCCAAGGGCTAGGATTACAGGTGTTTACCTCCAGAACTGCAGACAAGAGAGAGGACTTAGGCCTGAATCTCCACTGCAATGTAGGCTGTATAGAGTTAGGAATGTATTTATCTTTAGCTTGGATTGCCAGACGGTAAAAGTAATAAAGATTAAATTTGGCAACCAGAGGGGAAAGCCTTAGATCATCTGCATAAAGACTCTTTGAAAAACTTTTTTTTTTTTTTTTTTTTTTGAGATTAGGGTTTCTCTTTGTAACAGCCCTGACTGTCCTGTAACTCTGTAGACCAGGCTGGCCTATAACTTAATAAAGATCTGTCTGCCTCTTCCAAGTTCGGGAATTAAAGCTGTGTGCCACTGTGCCCGGCTGAAAAAAATTTAATAAAGTCTATGCAAAGACACAGTGTGAGAAAAGAAAAGTGGTTGCTTTTCTTTATTTTTTTTTTCCCCGAGACAGGGTTTCTTAGTGGAGCCCTGGCAATCCTCACAGAACACACATTGATCCCCTGCCTCTACCTCCGGAGTGCTGGAATCAAAGGTATGTGTCACCACCGCCTGGCTGGGATCTAGATATTTTTTTTTTTTTTTTTTTGAGACAGGGTTTCTCTGTGTTATTTTGGTGCCTGTCCTGGATCTCGCTCTGTAGACTAGGCTGGCCTCACAATCACAGAGATCCACCTGTCTCTGCATCCTGAGTGCTGGGATTAAAGGCTTATGCCACCACCACCCAGCTAGTTTTTTCCCCCTCTTTTAGCAACAGTTTATTAAAATGTACAATAGTCTCCAGGATAACACTTCATTCTAACTATAGGTGGCAAAGATGTTATTATAGTAAGGAATCCAAATGTTTAACAGGCTCCAGGATAACACTTCATTCTAGCTGTAGGTGGCAAAGATGTTATGGCAGAGAATCCAGATGTTTAAATAGGAATGGAAGAGGGTCACCATCATCTCAGATATGAGGAACAGCTTACTTTTTGCCAGATTTCTTAATTCCACCTGTGGCCAGGGATCCCTTCCCCACGGCCTTGGCTTTTAGCTTCTTGAGTTTCTTCTCTTTTTGTTTCTGCTTGAAAGCCTTATCTTCCTCGTCCATCTCTTTGTGCTGTTTCGGGGGCTTCTTTTTGCCACCTTCACAGCCCAACATGGTACCTACAGAGACCCCTTTCACCAGCGGGATCTAGATTCTTTTTTTTTTTTTTTCAAGACAGAGTTCAGGGTTTTTCTGTGTAGTATTGTCCTGGATATCGCTCTGTAGAACAGGCTGGCCTTGAACTCACAGAGATCTGCCTGGCTCTGCCTCCCAAGTGCTGGGATTAAAGGTATGTGTCACCACCGCCCAGCGGGGTCTGGATTCTTAAAGCTGAGAGAAAATAGGAATAACTCATTATGGAGTACAGAAGGCACCTACACCCAGGTGCTGAGTTAAAGACCCAGAGCTCAGGCATGCTAGGTACCAGGACTCTACCTGAGTTGTTCAGTATTTGGAGTCAAGCTCAGGTCTTAATCGGTGCTAGGAAGGTACTCTTGAAAACTGAGCAACATTCCTAGCCCAATAAATTATTTTCTCAAAGCTACCAAGTGTCACTTAGTGAAATCTGAGTGAATTTCACCACCCTGAACATCAGTCTCATCTGTCAGAAAAGAATCAAAGTTTGTACTTCTCTGTCTTGTAGAAGTAATTAGACATAACATTAAAATGAGCTGGGTGCCACATGGTGGCACAAGCCTGTAATTGCAACATTCAGGAGATGTCTACCTGTGACCTCCAGGATAGCATGGTCTCTACATAGTGAGTTCTAGGCCAGCCAGGGCTACAGAGTGAGACCCTGTCTAAAAAATAAAAGGCAGGGGCTGGAGAAATGGCTCAGAGGTTAAGAGCACTGCTTGTTCTAAAGGTCCTGAGTTCAATTCCCAGCAACCACATGGTGGCTCTCAACCATCTGTAATGAGATCTGGTGCCCTCTTCTGGCCTGCAGGGATATGTGCAGACAGAACACTGTATACGAAATAAATAAATCTTTAAAAAATAAATAAATAAATAATAAAAGGCAGAGCCTGGAGAAATGGCCCAGCAGTTTAGAGCATAGGCTGCTCTTGCTGAGGATCCAAGTTTGATTCCAAGCACTTGGATTATTTCACTCTACTTGTAACTCCAGTTCGAGGACAGACACCTTCTGGCCTCTGAAGACACTAGGCATGCATGTAGTGCACTTCATACATACAGGTAAGCCACTAATACACATTAAATAAACCTTTAAAAAAACATGAAAATAATCAAAGAAAAATTAGGGACTGAGGATGTAGCTCAGTGGCAGAGTACAAACTTAATATATCCAAGGCCCTCAGTTTGATTCCCTAGCAACCACCTAAAAACCAAAACAATAACAAAAAAAACCATACTCAAAACCAGAGGATTAAGCCAGTATTTGGCTCCCAACTTTATAAACTGGAGGGGTACCACCAGCTGTTCTGACTCATTCAACATCACCTGATGGTGGCTTAAAGGCCAGGAGCTCAGACCCCTTAAAGGATCCTTTATTCACGTGCTTGGGAATTGAAAGTGCTGTCAGCTGGGGCTACTGGAGCTTTGAAACACACATGTCCTTTTTATATATATTTTGTTATTATTTATTAGATTTATTTATTTATTATGTATACAGTGTCCTGCATGCATGCTTGCAGGCCAGAAGAGGGCACCAGATCTCATTATAGATGGTTTTGAACTACCACATGGTTGCTGGGAATTGAACTCAGGTCCTCTGGAAGAGCAGCTGGTGCTCTTAACCTCTGAGCCATCTCCAGCCCCACCCTTTTTATTTTTTAAAAGATTTTTATTTTATATGTATATTTGAGTGTCTTTTGTATATGTATGTACATGCCTGGTGCCCTCAAAGCTTAGAAGGTGACTCATCTGGAACTGGAGGTTAGAGATGGAGTCAGCGTGGGTGCTGGGAGCTGCATCCCAGTCCTCTGCAAGAACTGCCAAGCCATCTCTCCCACCCCTACACGACCTCTTTATTATGTATGTGTGGTACCCTCAGAGGTCAGAGGAAGGTATCAGATCCCCTGGAACAGGAGTTGCAGATGGTTTTGAGCAACCATGTGGGTACTAGGAACTGAACTTGGCTCCTCTGGAAGAACAAGTGTTCTTAACTGCTGAGCCATCTCTCTACCTCCCTATACATAGCCTCTTAATATGGCCTGAGCTTCAGATTTCAAGGATACATGTCTAGATATTTGCAGTGTGGTTTTTGTTTTGTTTTTTTCCATGCTGAGACGTGAACCCAGGAGCTTGCATACACTAGGAAGGGGCTCTATCAGGAGCCACACATGCCAGCCCTCCGTTCTTTTTCTAACCTGGTCCTGAAGGCATTGTTACTTTTGCTATATCCCACATTCTGTTTCTTATAAAGGAATCACAAAAATGGTACTGTGTTCAAGAGGACAAGAATTGACTTGTTTATATGGGAGAAATGTCAACTTGTTGGTGTTAAAAAGTGCCAGAAGCCATGTATGTCAGTGCTTAAGGAATTGTTGCTAACATGATTCGTGCCTGGAACTAATTTCCTAAAATCTCTTGTCTATCCTAGTTTGGGACTACTCTTTACTAAGTCTTATTTAATAGATTATAGAACTGTGGCCTCACCTCTCTTCATTTTGTTGTTGTTGTTGTTATTGTTGGGTTTTTTGTTTGTTTTTTGTTTTGTTTTGGTTTTTGGTTTTTCAAGACAGGGCTTTTCTTTGTAACTCTGGCTGTCTTTGAACTAGATCTATAGACCAAGCTGGCCTCACAAAGATCCGCCTGCCTCTGCCTCCCAAGTGCTGGGATTAAAGGTGTGTGCTGTGCCACCACCGCCTGCCTCTCTTCATTCTTAAAAGCTTTGTTTTAGTTTGTGAGAAAGAAGACAATTACAATTTAGGGTTAAAGGTAAAACTTTACTAAGGAAGGGCACCTATAAACTCTCTTCTATGAAAAAGCAAGGCACTAGCTAAGCCTTTTTTCTTTGTTGCTTTTTATTTTTTGACTTTCTGAGACAGGGTTTTTCTATTATGTAACCCTGGTTGTCCTGGCTGGCCTTGAACTCACAAAGATTCACCTGTCTCTGCCTCCTGAGTCCTGAGATTAAAGATATTCACCCCTCGGCCTAGTTACACTTTTGGTTTTATAGAAGAGAAATGCTTCATGAAGTGCTAGACACCAAGAAGCCTATACTAGTTATTATTATATGTGGTGGTTTCAATGAGAATGGCCACCACAGGCTCATCCCCTGTTGGTGGAACTGGTTGGGAAGGATTAGGAGGTGTGGCCTTGTTGAAGGAGGTCTGTCACTGGGGCTAGGTTTGAGGTTTCAAAAGACTGGCACCAGCTGGGCAGTGGTGCCATATTTGTGGTGGTTGGGGAGGAACGGCCAAGGTCAGCAGTGAGCTAAGTAACACATGTTGGCAAAGCGAACATGGGATACCTCTGACAACTGTCTAAGGACTGATAACCACAATCCACGGGGAGAAGAGTCCCCAGAAACCACAATCTTGACTCCTAAGAGGCATCGGACAGGTCTTGCAAGTCTGTTCCTGGACAAGGACACAAAACTAAATTCTCTTTATCCTTTCATGAGGGCCTCTAAGAAAGTCTTGGGTAGGTCTGGTCTCCCCACAGTGTTAATCACAGCAATTGAAAGTAACATATGCTACATCTTCCTGGTAGGACTGATGGTTTTCCTGTAACTCACATGGAAATACTGCTTATCTTTTCCTCAAATTGTCAAAGCTGAGGGTGATGAATGCACACAATGGGAAAAAGCATCAGCAAATCAACTCGAATCCAGAGTACACTTAGTGGCTGGAGAAATTGCTCAGTACTTACTGCTCTTGCAGATGACTCGGGTTTGATTCCCTGCACCCACTTTGAGCAGCTCATAACCACCTATAACTCCAGCTCCAGGGTATCCAATGCCTTGGATTTCCAGGGCATCTGCACTCACATGAACATTCCCTTACCAGACACATGCACACATACATATAATTAAAACCAGGTATTAAAAAAATGTACCCATTTCTGCCGGGTGGTGGTGGCACACGCCTTTAATCCCAGCACTCAGGAGGCAGAGGCAGGCGGATCTCTGTGAGTTCGAGGCCAGCCTGGTCTCCAAAGAGAGTTCCAGGAAAGGCACAAAGCTACACAGAGAAACCTTGTCTCAAAAAACCAAAAAAAAAAAAAAAAAAAAAAAAAAGTACCCATTTCTATTTCTAATCCTGGATATATCAAATTTATATAATTTATGTGACAATACTTGTAAGACTAATTTATAGTAAACTAAAAAATGGTTCCAGTATTTTGACTACAAAATTAATCAAATTACCTTATCAATACTTGAAGCTATAACTTCAGGTGAGTTATCACCAAAAGGTTAGTTTTCTCTAAAACATAACTTCATTTTGTTGAGTTTTTTTCTTTTTCTTTTTTAATGTGCAGTGGTGTCTGGACCCCTGGAAGTTAAAGCTGCCATATTATGAGTGATGGGAATTGATCTGGATCCTTTGGAAGAGCAGTCAGTGCTCTTAACTACTGAGCCATCTCTCTAGCCCTTTTGTGGGCACTTTTGAAACAAGGTCTTGGTTTGTAGTCTTAGCTTGCCTTGAACTTTCTATGTAGACCAGTCTAGCCTGGAACTCATGTTCACCTGCTGCCTCTCCAGTGTTGGAATTAAAGGTGTGTGCCGCCATACCCGGCCCAGCTGTTTTGTTTTTGAGAGCAAGTCTTTGCAAATTTCAACAGTGGTTTTAAAATTGGTAATTTTTCCTGCCTCAGCCTCCCGAGTAGCTAAAGAGTACAGGCATGCACCACCAGGCCAGATTTATTTATTTTCCTGTTACCTTTTATTTATTGACTTGTGTGTGTGCACGGGCATAGCTTGTGGCTGGAGGTCAAAGGATGACTTGTCAGCGAGTTCTCTTCTGCCGTAGAGGTCCTGGGGATTGGGCCCAGGTTCTATGGCTTAGTAACAGGTGGTTTACCTGCTGAGCTATCTTGTCAGCTCAGCCCACTGTATTTCAACACTATTTATTTGCTTGCTACTCATATAGTCTCACTCTAGCCAAGGCTGTATGTACTGCATCTTACTAAATAGGCCTGGTTGTTTTGAA